TCCTACAAGAGTGTCCCGCAAGAGTGTCCCACAAGAGTGTCCTACAAGAGTGTCCCACAAGAGTGTCCCACAAGAGTGTCCCGCCACAGTGTCCCACAAGAGTGTCTCACAAGAGTGTCCCTTAAGAGTGTCCCACAAGAGTGTCCCACAATAGTATCCCACAAGAGTGTCCTACAAGAGTGTCCCACAAGAGTTTCCTACAAGAGTGTCCCGTATGAGTGTCCCACAAGAGTGTCCCACAAGAGTGTCCCACAAGAGTGTCCCGCAACAGTGTCCCACAAGAGTGTCTCACAAGAGTGTCCCTTAAGAGTGTCCCACAAGAGTGTCCTATAAGAGTGTCCCACAAGAGTGTCCTACAAGAGTGCCCCACAGTTTCCTACAAGAGTGTCCCGCAAGAGTGTCCCACAAGAGTGTCCCACAAGAGTGTCCTACAAGAGTGTCCCACAAGAGTGTCCCACAAGAGGGTCCTTATAGAGTGTCCCACAAGAGTGTCTCACAAGTGTGTCCCACAAGAGTGTCCTACAAGAGTGTCACGTAAGAGTGTCCCACAAGAGTGTCCCGCAACAGTGTCCCACAAGAGTGTCTCAGAAGAGTGTCCCTTAAGAGTGTCCCACAGCCGCAGTTGTGGATTTCTCTGTATTATGTGGACGGTTATCATTTTCAAGTGCTTCTTTTCGAGATTTTGGGACAATGCCATTGTTTCTTTCGTGATGTGGATCTGCCAGAACCTTTACGCCAGTGCTTGGTTTGAATGCAAAACGGAGAACCTTCATGACGAAGACGGAGCTTGGTGGTGAAGTCCCCAGCACATGCTGCCTTGGTGGTGGATTCCCCAGCGCATGATGTCCAACAGCGTACCGGAGTGTGAAAAAGATATATAATCTAACTGGCTGTGTCCCTTTCTATACACAGTGGATTGACATATGTGTTTGCATTCGGGTTCGTGGGCTCCATCTTGTTTTTCTCCAAGTGCCTGGCAACGCCCAAAGTTGCAAGTGTCATCACGGTGGCAAGGCACCAGAAGCAGCTATGAAATTGAACTACAGCATTTTCAACTGGGCTGTGCCAGCCTCAGATGCGCAAGGGTGTTGAACTCTTCTAGTGGAAAGGCTAGCGCAAAAGAACCCCAAGTCGAAATGAGCAAGCTTCATGGAATACGAGTCAAACTGTTTGCCGTTTGCAGCATCCCAGGCTGTTCATGGGCCAGGAGAGTTTCACGGGTAACTTGGCTGACTTTGGCTGGTATTTTGATTATCAATACTCTAATTTACCAAGATGGGCAGCCTAGTCCTACTGGCCATAGGGGAGCAGAGCAGATCCGCGCAGGCCACACACACATGTGGGCGAATACCATGTCGGAGTCTTCTATGCTCAGGTGAGGAAGACCAGAAAAAGACAGCGAAAAAATGAACAAACTGTCCTTGCTAACTGTGGCACGTCAACAGCTCAAATGCATCGGCTCGACAGGTGGAACCAATTTGACCGTTGCCAAAACCGGCGTAGTGACAAGGAGTAACAAAACAGGTGCTCAACATCATGAGAAAAAACCGCCCCCTTGTGAGGGAGACTTCTAGTTTCAAAACCTCTCATGTGACTCATGTGAGTTTTCGATGAGTCCTGGGCAACATTCCATGACCGCGGTGACCACGATGGATTTGAAAGAGAGGGCTTTGTCGGAAGCGCCCCGACTAGCATCAAAGTTGGAGGGGGTCAAAGAGCTGTACACCAAAGAAGTTTTGTCTTCTCCTGATGTCTGTGTGGCCTACATTCTTATAACACTTGCGCTTCGGCATGGCCCGGACCGTGCTGTGGCGGGCACTCGCGAAAAGGAAAAGAACAAGGTTGGCAAAGGACATGTTGATGTGCCCGAAGAAGAGCCTTACTACTCAGCCAGGCTTAGCCACCTCGAGGTTCAGCGTGTTCTTGGACATGATGTGATTAGTGATCGCGCCCTTTCTCGGCTTGAGTTGAACAGAGATTCAACTATCCACGATTTCTGGCTGAAAGCCCGGTGTTGCAAGGTTCCAGACTATGCATCTGCGTGCTTGGATGCCTTCTATGCAGGATTGCGACCTTTGCGGCTCATGTTTCGAATCCCTGATCCAACTGAACTCCTTGCCATGCAGGCTGAAGGGGCAAGATGTGTAAGCGCTTTGGCATCACCCAAGCTGTTGACCCAGGTGTTTGGTCACCGGGATTGCTTGGAGATGCTGTTGCATGATCTAGCACACATGGAGAAGTTTGTGGAAGCGGGACGGTTTTGGCAACAAGTTGGCTTCTTTGTGTTTCTCCAAGCCAGTGTTGCACCTTTTCACATTCAGCAACGACAAGCTCTTGGCAGAAGATGGGAGCTGTCTTGGAACTACGTATCGTCAGACATGAATGCAGTCGCAAATCATATGCTGATGACTCTGAAGTCCCAGCTCATGGTTGCGATGGCACGGAGAACTTGGCTGGATGCTGGGTTTCCAGATGACGCCAAAGCTGATGATGAGCTTTCGGCTGTTAAGTCCGATGTTTATCCTCGTGCAAGCATGTCGGAATGGAAACCTTCTTTGGCTGGTTGCGGGTTGCTGGATCAATTTGAGGACCGACCACTGTTCCCCGTGAAGTGTGCAGCCAGAACTGTTTGTGATTGACAGACAGGAGACTTTTCAAGAAGCATGGCGGGGTGTGCTTTGTGCACATGTGAGATATGTCATGGAGAACTTTCATGACGTGTTCGGAGCAGATGATCATGCAGAAGGCACGCTTTTGGGAAAGTGCTAACGAACCTTGATGTCTGGAGATGCAACGATGAATGAACATGAATGACTCAGGTTTGTTCTCTCCTTCCTTGTCGGACAGCTCATTTGCTTCATGGCCACGCCCATCTGCAGCCCACTTCATAAGGGCTGCCACTTGCAGCGATCCTTTAGCAGCCACGGGCTCAGGAGCCCACTTTATCGATGCTTGCGAGTAAGTCAAAGAGGTGGCACTTGGTAGACCTGGCAGTTGTTGCTTTTGTTTTTGCTGCTGCTGCGGCGACGGCTACTGTTGCCGCTGATGGTTTTGTCCTTTTCTCTCTCCAACAAGTCGCGCCCCAAGGCAGACAAGGCAGCCATTATTGCACACTTTGATGAGCTTGGCCGCAGATCGTGTCAAAATGGTTCGCAGCATGCCGTGGGGAAGGAGTTCGTTTCTTGTAGAGAATTGTCGAACATGAGTCATGAGATTCAGAAATGGACTCAGAGGGCTCTGATCAGGTGAACAAGAACCGACAATGTGCGGGGAGATTGCTCAAGAAGATGCTATGAAGGAAGCTGTGCTTTGCAATTGTTGAGGCGGAAGAGGCGGCCGGGAAGCTACGCTTTGGGGATCCACGAGGCATGTTTCTGGCTTCGAGGCTCCAAGTTCAGAGAGTATATAGTATTATAGAGCCGAAGGAAGAGAATACAGACTTCTTGTAAATCAAGGGTCCAATCCTTCGATTTGTAGCAATCTGTTGGAGACAAAACATTCGCGTTCTGTGTTCTTATTCTTGGCTCTGGAAAGGACACAGCCCACCATTTGGCCGGTCCTTCTTTCATTCACCCAGGCCTGGCATTGTGACATAAGTGGCATAAGTTTGTGACGATGTGATGATGTCATTTGGTGTTTTGGGAGATCTGGCGACCTTGTATTCTTCCCGTGACCTGCTCAGATTGGTATTTATGTTATCGAGAACAGCTGGTTGAAGTTTCAATTGAATTTGCACGTTTTTTTTGGTGTTTCAATAAGAATGACAGTTAGCTGTTCGTTTGCCCAGGTCTTGGCTTAGTCACATGGCAACCGTCACAGCTCCACAGCCAGCGGCCTCACTTCGCAGCACAAATATGTACGGACTAAAGGTCAACTATATAGTAGCAAGAAGCTACTAGGTTGGAGGCCATCGCTACTAGGGTGGAGGCCATCTCTTTTAGGTTGGAGGCCATCGCTAGTAGAGTGGAGGCCACTAGCTGCTGTCCAGCTCTAAGGACCGATCCGGACTCCAACGGGACGCCGCCACTGTTCACCCGCCCGAATTTACTGTTGATAGTCGCTGTAACCTTGCGAAGCCGGTGCCCCCTTTCATGTAGAGCTGTAGAACATTGTAGTTGTAACACAGGACCAAATTCCTCACTTGCCAGGCGGGTTGTCTTTTCATTCAACATTGGACCAGTTCAAGGGCCGATGCCGTGCTGCTCTCGAAGACATGATCAGATCCCCAATCCTGTATTGTATTGACTGGCCCTTGTCCGTTTGCACGTTCAACTGTGATTGCAGTTCAGCGGATGCTGTCAACCCAGTGCGACTTGCGAAATGTCTCCGCCACTCAAATCCCCTTGCCCACGCGTAAAGGCAGGTACAGAAAGCCATTATTCCCGAATGCGTAGCGAAGGGTTCTCGTTTATATAACTCTTTGGGGGTCTGGGGGTAGAGCCTTGTTCGCGACCCGTTGTTTCTATGTTCGCAACCGTCCGCAACCGTTCGCAACCGTTCGCAACCGTTCGCAACCGTTCGCAACCGTCCGCAACCGTTCGCGGTAGAGCGCTAAGGCGCTGCCATTGGGGGAAGCTTTTGCAAGTGACTATGCATGGATGTGTCACGTGTTAGTTTGCGCCGCGAGTCCATTGTGATTTGCGCGAAAAGGACATGTCGCGCAAGAAGCGTGATGCATTTCGCTGCACAGGCGCAGCGTTTTGTGAGATCCGCAGTTTGCTACGCAGTTCCATTGGGATTAGCGTTTGGAGAGTCGTGTTTTTGGGGTGTTGGATGTGGCCGTGCCATTGGGATTTGCGTTTCAGGGTGTGGCATCGAAGCTCTGTTTTCGTGACAAGTCTCAGCTGAAATGCCGATTTTGGACTTTGGGAGTGTGCTCAGAACGGGTCGAAGTCATTCCAAACGTGTGGTGTGGTGCAAATATTGTTGAAGCTCACATGAGATGACATTGTTACTTTTCGTGGCAGGCGCAGGACTTTGTGCGGGTTTTGAGGTGTGGAAGTGGGATTTTCGTGGCAGGCGCAGGGAATCGTGAGGTTGCGACGTGTGACGGAGGTGACATTTCAAGACAGGCGCAGTACTTTGTGCGCGTTAGACGTGTGGACGCGGAAAGATTCGTGGCCGGTGCAGGGAATCGGGAGGTTGTGAGTTGTGGTAGAGGTGAATGTCGCTGTCACATTGGGATTGGCGTTTGAGCGGGTGTCGTTTGGAGGGACTAGAATCGCGAAACTGCTTGGCAGGGTTGCATGATGTGTGCTCTGATGGGTGCTGCCGCTGGACTTTTGGAGGAAGTCTCGTACGAAATCCTCGTTTGGCAGACTTTGACATGTGAGTTTTTGAGGAAGTCTCGCACGAAACGCTCGTTTTGGAGACTTGACGCGTGACTTTTGGAGGAAGCCTGGAGACTTTTGGAGGAAGTCTCGTACGAAACGCTCGTCTTGCAGCCTCGCAGCGTGACTTTGGGAGGAAGTCTCGTACGAAGAGTGTGCCCTACAGGAGTGTCCCACAAGAGTGACCTACAAGAGTGTCCCACAAGAGTGTCCTACAAGAGTATCCCACAAGAGTTTCCTACAAGAGTGTCCCACAAGAGTGTCCCACAAGAGTGTCCCACAAGAGTCTCCTACAAGAGTGTCCCACAAGAGTGTCCCACAAGAGTGTCCCGTATGAGTGTCCCACAAGAGTGTCCCGCATGTCCCACAAGAGTGTCCTACAAGAGTGTCCCACAAGAGTGTCCCGTATGAGTGTCCCACAAGAGTGTCCCACAAAAGTGTCCCACAAGTGTGTCCCACAAGAGTGTCCGACAAGAGTGTCCCATAAGAGTGACCCACAAGAGTGTCCTACAAGAGTGTGCAACAAGAGTGTCCCGTAAGAGTGTCCCACAAGAGTGTCCTACAAGAGTGTCCCACAAGAGTGTCGTACAAGAGTGTCCCGTAAGAGTGTCTCACAAGAGTGTCCCACAAGAGTGTCCCGCAACCGTGTCCCACAAGAGTGTCCCACAAGAGTGCCCTACAAGAGTGTCCCA